CTTATTTCCAGGCAGACCAAGAGCTGGTGAATACATTTAATCAACCAGCTCTATCTAGCTTACTTTTACCTATTGGTTCCCCACCTCTCACACAGGGGCGAAAGTGGCAAGGCAGGAAAAAATATAGCAACTCTAAATGAGGTCCATGTCTCACTCTCTGTCTCTCTCGCTGGGGAGGTACATATTACATCACAACTAACATTAGCAAGCCACATCAGAACCCACAGTAGTGATCTGAAGGCTTTCCTCCAGACTGGAGTTTAAATACATGGATATTCCTGACATATACAAAAATACTCATGAACTTTATCTGTATTGTTAGATAGTAATCATTAGCCTTTGTTTAAGGGACCTTACTGAGAGTTTGTTATATGATATTGGGTAGTCCTCCCTAACCCCGTGCCCTCCAGATGTATTGCATTACAATTCCCAGCCAGAATGGATGATGGGAGATGTAACCTGACACATATGAAGAAAGCTATGTTGGGGGAAGCTGACTGAGCTTTATCAAAAGGCCAAGAAATGCTCCAGCCTTTTCCTTTAAACAGATACTGGTCCTGCAAAAATCATCAGTGGATGAAATCTTGGCAGGCATGGATGCAAACATTTTCACCTGCTAAATACTGCTGATTAAACAGATTACCGTATATACTCAATTATAAGTCAACCTCATGTATAAGTCAAGGGCAGGTTTTGAGGCCAAAATTATGGATCTCGATATGACACATGGATAAATCAAGGTTAAAACTTAGGGGCAAGTAACAAAGGATATTAAGGACAAAGCAAAGGAAAAAATGCCTAAGAACATACAAAATTCCAGCAGGCACAAATTGTTGTGCTCACCCTAAAGGCTGGATAGATGAGAGAGCAAAGTGGGGAGGGGGGGGGTCAGTGCTTTCAGAACAGATCACATACTTGGCTTTCACCAGGGAATGGTTCCTTTTTTATAAGAGTCAAAGTACATTACTTACGTTAACCCATGGATAAGTTGACTTAGGTTTTGGGGGTTAATTTTTTGCCTAAAATTTTTAGACTTATACATGAGTATATACAGTAAATCAAAGTTGCCAACCTTGGTGCAACCTTTCATGAAAACAGAAGGATAATGTCGCAAAATAGCCCCTCTAGTTTTTCCAGCTCTGGCTAAAAAGATATATAGAAAGAGTTCTAAACAAGGACAAACCTTGTACAGAGCCAATGACCTTTTATCCAAGGCTTGAAAACTGGTATTTATTTGCTACCATGAATGGTATCATTGAAAGAAAGAAGGTATGCTAAACCCACGTACCTAAGTCTTTGTGGCATCCAGGTCTTATGTCTGCATTACAGATATCATCACCTTGACCACAGACCATATTCCCCTCTTGGGCCCCCTGTTCCCTTCACAACCTTCCTAGATTGCATCTCAGGACTTAGGATAAATATAAAGTATAACAATGACAATCTCACCTACACTTCAGTCCAGTTGAATGAAGGTCCACTGTGACCCCAGTAGCTTAATGTGATTTTACTGCTGGAGATACTGACGGATAATTACTCAGCCTTGGAAGTCTGCAATTCAGATGGTGTGGGGGAGATATATTTTCTGTGCTACTAAGGCCAAATGTCTAAATGGAAACATCTCACATATTGTTCAAGATTGAGCTCTAACAGATAATTGAAAACGAGCACAACAACTGTGACTTTGCCTCTAATTAGACACATAGATCTGTGTTATTTTGGGGTTGCTGAAGGCAACAAAAGCTATATTTTAAGTCCAAAAATAGCTATAGATTCAACCTAGTTTGCAAAGCAGAAATTCATTTTCTTTCAGCTAATTAAATGGTGACAGGATCTTTCTTACCTGCACATGATTTCATGGGTGAGCAGAACTCTGCACATTTCAGGGTTCTTGTCTTGGCCTTCATATACTATTGCCTAGAAAGAAAAGACAGGGGGATTTTATTTTATTTTTTTAAGCTGCAAAGTGAATGTGCCTGGAGAAATATGATCACCGCCACAGTACAGGAATGCATAACTATGTGGTAAGACAGTTAGCTTTGCTTAAACAGACGGCATCCTTGCAAAAAGTGCCTCAAGATTTGTTATTGGAGTGCCCCAGAAGCCAAGCGGAGAAAGCTTTGCTCATCTCTCTCTCTCTTTCTCTCTCCTGTTTTAACGAATGCATTATGCACATCTTTTGAGTAGTGTGTAGGATAAGCTTTTTTAGTAGTCAAGACAACCACAATGTTCTTTTCAATTCAGAATAAAACATAAACTTAATAGCACTTTTTTAAAAAAACATATACAGGAAGGCTCAGCCAGAACACTATGGGGCCTATTCATAAAATGAAAAAGTTAATATATTTTTAATTCAAAAAGCATGGCTGTGCACTTAACTAGCTACCACATGAGTACAGAACCTGATTCACACTGTGCTCTGTAAAACTCCAGCCTAGTTAACTGTGCTAACAAATTAAAGGAAGGTAAATTCCTGTAAATGCAAATAAACAAGTTCTGGAAAACAAGAGGATACAGCAGGCAGACACTCCACTGTCTGATATTCCTTGGCAAGATATTGGAGTACTTTGTGCATTATAGCCTAAACCCAGTTGTTGGTCTCTATGAGAGTAGATCCACAGAATCAATGAAACTTGGTTGAACAAGTTTCCATTGATTTAATGGAGATAACTGTAGGATCTAACAGCCATCATGGAGTAGTGGTCTTACAGTTGGATTAGTACTCTGGGAGACCAGAGTTCAAACCCCTGCTTATCCAAGGAAACCCACTGGGTGACCTTGAGCAAATCACACACTCTCTCAGCCTTAGTGGATGGCAATGACAAACCTCTAAATACATCTTGCCAAGAACAAGGTAACCATCAGAGTTGACTTGAAAACATATAACAGCAACAACAAAACCATTGGATTTAGAAATATAGATTAGGTGTACATCTACATGTGGAATTCCACATTAAGGAAGTCTTTCCTAGTCTGATGCACTCAGGGTGTAGGACTGGGGTGATGAGTTGTAGCCCAACCAATCTGGAACACTATGTTTAGTTGTCAAACGTATGTTTTCCAGTTGAAGGAAATGTGGAATTTGAAGGGATAACGAGGAGGTAAGAGGAATTCTTACCCTGCCTACCAGCATTTCCTCCTTTCCTTTCCCAAGTATATTTCTAGAGTCAGGCATAACTGGCTGACTAAAAATAAAAAGGGAGGTCAGGTCATGGAGAAGGACTGTGAAACAGATTTAATGAGAGGGAGAAGGATTAAGCAAAATCTTCTTCCCTGCAAGTCTTCCCACGTTAATGCTAGGAATCATTGCATCCCACCCTAATTAAAAGTGTTATGTGTACATGTGCCTATCAATTGTTTCCAAATGTGACTGTTCTATCAATAAACTTTTCAGTGACTGGTTCCATGTCAAATGTACTGTTGGTCCAAAATCCAGGTTTATTGCCACATAATATCTGAAGTAATCCTTTATTTCTAAATTCTGAAATAGGATGTTCTTTTTTAATGTTCCTGTACTTTTAAGGCTACAATCGTATGCTACTTTGAAGTCAGCAGAACTTCTGAGTAAGTACGTATATATAAGGAAAGGACAATTTGGCCAGGTACAGCTTTTCCTGTCATATCACTGCATTACCATATGCAAACAACAACAAAAAATTATCGATAGCAACCAGAATTGAAATCTGTGAACTATCTAGAAGAAATCTTTCCTTTTCCCTGTGTACAAAATATGCACTTAGGGAGTTTAGAAGTGAAATTAAAACTATATAAAAGCATACATACATTTGTGGAATGTGATTGCGGAAGATGAGGAGAATTAACACCAGCCTTGCCTAGCCCCATTCTGTTTTTCAGAGTTGGATATACAGAAATCAGCAAGCTTTTGACAGCCTAAAATTCTATTCACTTGCTAATTGCTGTGAATCAAACTGCCATTGAAGGAATAGCTACTCAAGTCAGTTCAGTCTTTGGCAACCCTAAAGAAAAAAAGTCTAACTGCTGAAATCTGCAACAAACAATTTACTGAGGTCCAATAAAAACGGCAAGCAGAGTCATGCAGGGAATACCGCTGTGCAGGGGCATATGTTTTTGCAGGACTGAGCTCTGCATTTGCGATACTTAACCTTTGCTGCCATCTTGTTAAAGGTAAGTCATTAGTAAAGTCCTTTTAGTTCTGTGAGCAGATGCAAAGGAGGGCAGAGCTACTGTATCCTTCTTTACTCATTACACAGAAGAGGGAATTTCATCAGGGGCAGACTATCATGAAAAATTTTAAAGAAATAAACAAACAACTCTGCATCTCCTCAAATCCCCTCCTACACACACCACTTAGCAGTACAAAAACATTCTTGTTCTTTGTATGTGGCCATTATATCTCAAATTGCAATTAAAAATCTTTCAAATTCACTAGCAGCTCATAAATTACATAGAGACAGAAAAAGAAAAGCATGTGAATGATTGTGCATCTTCATTTCTTTGCTCAACATCTGTTGTTGTTGTTGTTGTTGTTATCAATTTCTACACCTCTGCCTATATATAATGATATTTTGAAGCAGTAATGAGCGAAATCACATTTGCAGATCCCCTGTCCTATGAGATAATTTCCAGTTTCTGCATAATGTCAGGAGAAAGGATTTGCCTTGCTAAATCATATCAAAGTTCTACCTAGCCTACTGTGTCTCCCACAGTGGCCAGCCAAATTAATCCATTTCCTGTTCTTACCCTTGAATATTTCACAGATGAATAAGAAGGTACATGTGATCAATACAAATTATTAATGAGGAAAAGCATACAAGCTTTGCTTTTGCCTAAATCTACTGGGAAGGGGAAAAATCTGCCCCCTCCTGTCCTCTCTCCATTGCTGTTAATTGAGTGCAAACTACTTTTGACTCTCAGTTTGAAGCCACAGAAATACATGGAAGCCAAAGGGGGGAGTGGGAGGAAGAGGGGAAAAATGGGACATTTTACAAGCGGTCAAGAAACTGGGACAGCAGAGGATTGATTTGGTGATCCAGTGGTTTGAGTGAAGGACTATGACTCTGAAGAACAGGGTTCAAATCCCTGCTCAGCCATGAAACCCCCTAGGTGACCTTGGGGAAGACACATGCTCTTAGCCTCAGAGGAAGGCAATGGCAAATCTCCTCTGAACAAATCTTGTCATGAAAACCCCATGATAGGTTTTCCTTAGGGTCACCACAAGTCAGAAACAACTTGAAGGCACACAACAAGAACAAGAGGATTAATCTGACTGTTCCTGAAAAATCAGAACTGGAGGGTATGCTTTTATATCAGGTATATTTGCATTCTAATGACTACCAACAACAATCTACTCCTTTCATAAGACTGGTGCTCCTGTTACAGGTTCAGGCAATATTTATGTCTATTCATGAAAACCTTATGGATCTATATATTTATCTTTAGGCCAAAACACACTGCAGAAATAATCCAGTTTGAGACCACTTTAACTGCCCTGGCTCCATGCTGGGGAATCCTGGGAATTGAAGTTTGTTGTGGCACCAGAGCTTTCTGTCAGAGAAGGCTAAATGTCTCATAAAATTACAATTCCCAGAATTTCTCTAGCAGTGAGCCAGGGGAGTTAAAGTGGTCTCAGACTGGATTATTTCTGCAGTGTGTTTTGGCCCTTAATCCTAAATACTAAGTTGTTTGACTGTGACAAAATATAGCTAGAAAATTTGAGATGTCATAGTTATATCAAAGGTATTTCTTGGTTTGTTGTTGTGTGCCTTCAAGTTGTTTCCAATTTATGGCGACCCTAAGGCAAACAAATCATTAGGGGTTTTTGGCAAGATTTTCTCAGATGAGGTTTGCCATTGCCATCCCCGGAGGCTGAGCGACTGTGGCTTACCACATGTTTGGCACATTCTTACTAAAAGAATATTAAACCAAAACAATGCTTTTGTAATGGTATCATGGAATCTCCAACACAAAGAATCAGTAAAACTTATTGATATTTTGAGAAATTGAGCAGGAGGTGAAGGAGAAGGTGCGCACTAAAATTAAACAGCAGAGCACAACTAGCAGAGGCATCACATAATATATAAATTGAGGTGATCTGCAATGTTGTAACATTCCCTTGGAAAATATTTCCCTTGGAAAGCAATGAGGGAGGGGATGAGAGGCTGCCTGTTCAGCAGTCGTGAATCTTTAGTAGCAAAAGCAACATAGCAATACACTCCAACACAGTATTTGTCGTTAACTGCCCTTGAGTTGATCTCGACCCATGGCGACCCTATGGATGA